GGCGCCCTTTCTCTCTCTCTCTCTCTCTCTCTCTCTCTCTCTCTCTCTTTACTGAACTCTCTTTCATTTTCTATTTTCTACCGCATCTACTGCACTTTTTCTACTTCTGAGGCCGGTGCTGCTACTCACTCAGGGAGCTAACTGGGCAGCAATGCTAAATGCAAACTCTTTCATTTCAATCTCCTGCTCCTGGTCGACGAACACACACACACACTCACATTTGACATTTCCATTTTCAATCCTGCCTTTCTGCTGAGTGAATGAGTAAGTGAGTGAGTATACGTGGAAGAAGTGTCGGTAAAATCATCATCAGTTGCAGCACTCTTCGCTCACTCCAACTGGACTCTTCTTCTTTCTCTTCAGTACTTTTAGTTGAGTTTACGTTCAAGCTAAATTCGCTTGTTTGCTTAGTGACAACAGCAGCAGCAGCTTCTACGAATGTGAAGTAGACATGAAAGCGGGCGATTTGTTCTAGCGTAGACCACTGCACACCGGTGCAGGCACACAAGAACACACCGAATAAGAAAAAAAAATAAAAAGAAGAAGAGGAGGAGGAACAGACGAATGAGCTGCGATTAAGGCAATCTAGAGAGCAGGCTGTGGGCAAAGGGCAATGGCGGAGAAAGACGAAAGAGAGAAGAATGAGGCCGAAAAGAGGGAGCGAGGCACAATTGACCAATTTCCGATTCACACAGCAACGGAAGTGATTGTCTCTGACAGCGGTGCTTGCCTGTCTGCCTGTCCGAGGTTCAGGCCAAGGTGACTGTCGCAGTCTGCCCATTTAGTAAGACCTACTCTACAATGCCACCGTTCTTCTTCTCCTTCTCCTCAAATTGAACACATTACCCAAACTCATTGAGCGAACTTTTTATTTAAAAAGCTAATCTCCCAAAAGCACGTTTTCACTTCACCGTCGACCCACAGCATTGTGCCGCCGTTTTGTTTTGCTTAGCCACTTTCCGTCCCCTGAACTTTTTCCCCCCTCCTTCTCATTCTCACTTCCATTCTTCTATTCTCTACTGCGTTCAGCAGCAGCAGCATTCTGCAATCGGTAACACGCACAGCAAAAAAAACAGAACAAAATAGAAATAGAGAGAGACAGTCAGACAGACAAACAGACAGACAGAAAGACAAATGTGGTCGATGGGGATGAGGAGGAAGAAGAAGAAGAAGGGAGCCAGGACAGGGGAACACCACTGGCAGTGATGCCTCCATTTGGATCGATCCATTTTCGATCAGCTGCCGAGGTGCAAATTGCTGATTGCCAAGTGGCTGCTGCTGCTGCTGCTGTAGTTCCTTCCACGAGGCTGCCCTGCTCGACCACTGGTGCTGATGATGATTCCGTGGTTCTTGGTGGCAGTGCTGCTGCTGCTGCTGTTCCTCGTGGTGATAAGGCAGCAGCACCTCTCTCCTCTTTTCATGTTTCTTTTCACTTTGGTGTGCCATTGGCCAAATTAAATCACGCAAAGTGGCACCCTCTCGGTGCAGTAGCCACACAAGTGCTTGTGCTACTGTACTCTACTCTGGTCTCTGGCCTCTAGTCTAGTCTGTAGTGGTGGTGGTCGTGGTGGTCTATCTTTCTCTCTCTCTATTACTTGAGAATATTCTCTCCGCTATTCAGATCTCTCTCTCCACCATTCACCGCCATTCAAATCATCTTCATCTAATCTGTCTGGGCACGGACAGTTGGAGTTGGAGTTGCCTACCCATCCACACAGGGTAATAGGATTACCGAGTTACGTGTCCAATCAAGTGGCACTGCCACCGCTGCTCTTGTTGATGGCAGTGTTGGTGGTGGTGGTGGTGGCCTAGCCGAAGACACCGAGGACGTGCAACTGACTGCAATTCGACACTGTCTGTCTGTGTGTGTATGTTGTCCATCACCTACGCCACAGCACACCCACAGCGACACTGTTCGCATCAGTTTATGTGCACTCAACACAATAAAGAAATGAAAAAGAGAGAGAAGGTGCAAGTCGTCGTCACTGGTGAACCACGACACCAGAGCCCAATGTCGAACCGGCAATGTACATCATCATCATCGTCATGTCATGTCAATTCAGTTCGGCAAACCGGACGATGTTTTTATTCAATTTGCAAAACAGTAAATGGGAAATGCTACATCCTCGCCAGCTTTTTTCCTCTGTCTGTGTTTTCGTTTTCGGTGTCCAGGCAAAAAATGAGCCTAAATTTTGTACTCATGCACAGTTCACAGTTCGTTCAGCTGGCTCAGGTGCTCGATGCACAGACTGTGCAGCTCCATGTAGGGGGACACCTTTTCGACCAGCGCCTGGACAAACAGTTTCCTATTTGGGAACAAAAGTGTTAGTCTTTATAACTTGTTTTACAAGATAAGGGCTACTTTACCAGAAGTAGATGAACAGCAGCTTGTCATCAGCATTGTTGTATTGCTTGAAAATGGTCACCAAAAATCGATGGCCAAACTAAAAAGGAAAATGTCGATGTGAGTTTTCATATAAGACTCTTAGATTCCAAAACTCACCTTGCTTAAAACTATCAGCTCAATGTCATCAATGGCAGCTGTAATGTAGATCAAGTTACGAGCCTCCTTGATGCGACCCAGCGCCTTGACCAGCATGTTGCCAATGTTCAGTTGAGGATTCTCTTCCGCTTCGATGATCAACTGCTTACAGTTTTGCGACTTTACTAGCGAACAGAGAAGGACAACAAAGTGGTCCTCCTTGCGCAGCAGCAGCAAACTTCGGTACACTAAAAGGGCGCCCTTGCTGACGCTCAGTATCTCCGGGTCCACCTCGTTCTCCAGCTTCTTCAGCGTGGGCACTGTGCGGTTGATCAGCGCAAACATCGTTCCGCCGCCCTTCTCCGCCGAGGGAATCGGCTTGACGATGCCCTCAAACAGATGCTGGCACAGTTGAACTCTCAGCTCCAGGCGAAGTGCCTTAATGTTCTCCGGTAGGATGGGCATTCGCTTGTCCTCATCTTCAATGTTCAGAAGGTGTTCGTAGAGCACCTCAATCTTTGCGAGAATGGCGTAGAATGAGTTTGAGTTTGAGGAGTCGCCATTCGGCTTGTCCGGGTTCACGTCCAGCAGCTTGCGCGGGCATTTAGTGTTGAGCATCTGAATTTTGCCCAGCGTATTGTCGAACTGAATGTACTTCGGCTGCTCTTCCTCCATTTTCGCGTGTTCAGGCAGAACAATCATCGGGTCGTTCTCGATGATCTCATCAATCTCCTCATCATTGGCGTCCTTATTCTGCTGCTTAGCCAGCGTCTTTCGCCGCTCATTGGTCGCCTTCTTCACATTGAAGTTCACCTCGTAGTAGTCCTCCACATAGGGATTACTAACCTTGCACTGCAGGCGGAAAATCTTAATCAGCCAGTCCTTCTCTCGCTGCGACATAAAACCGGCGAACTTGTCATGCATTGGTCGGAAGTTGTTGAACAGATGGGAGCGATGGCCTCGTTGGGCCTGCGCCGGAGTTATGATGGTGTTGATTAGTCGCTGCTGCTCCTGCTGAACCATTGGATGCAGAACTAAGGGGTGAATGAGCTGTGGTCGAACAGGGGTGAATCGGTCGTGCTGAGGATGCTGGAGCTGGGGGTGGTGTAACTGCGGGTGGTGCAACTGTGGGTGGTGCAGTTGTGGGTGGTGCAGTTGTGGGTGGTGGTGCAGTTGTGGCTGTACTGGCGGTGGCGGCTGTCCTTGCGGCGGCTGATTACTGTGCAAACTTTTCTCCAGTTCTTCCACGGTCATCCCCATTTTCATTGGTTTAGGCAGCGCTTGAGGAACTAAACCAACCACATGCGGAATCTCGGCAATTGGACCTGGACCATGCAGTTGGTTTTGCTGTTGCTGTTTCTGATGCTGCTCGTGTAGCGCCTGCTGTTGCTGCTGATGTTCTCGATGATGTTTCTCATTTATCTCTCTCTCAATCTCCTCAAGGGTTAAAACTTTCATTTGTTTGGGCAGAGATTGAATGAAACTGGCTTGTGGAATTTGATTGATGCCTGAATCATTAAGTTGAGGCTCATGTTTCTGCTGCTGCTGCTGTTGCTGATGATTCAACTCTGGCGAAAGTGGACGCCAGACCGAAGACATGAACTGATCATCAAAGGGCAAAATGCTCGGCGATGGAGGTCGCAGTGAATCCAAATTGATGGACTTTTTAACTTTAGTTTTCGGTTTAGTGATCACATTTTGAGGCTCATTATCGTAGTTATTAAAATCATCATCCGACAGGTTGTCTTCGAAAAAGCAGTTGGATATGCTGCTTTTGACAATATCCTCGCAGTCCGGATGAGCATAATCATTTTGCTGTGGTGGCGATTTGCTTGACTGCGACAAAGCAAAGTGTACACCGGGCTCATCATCTACACCGGCCAGCTTCTCGTGCGCCTCTTCCCAATCGTCCGTCAAATCACAGCCGAAAGTTTCATCATTCAGTTCATCTATCTCTTCAGTATCCTCCAAGTATGGAGGATCTATCTCGGTTAACTTGCTCATGATCACTCGATTACGGTGGAAAGCACCCTGGGAAGAGAAAGAAGTTGAAGTAAAATGGCGGCATGTCCAAGTGCCGGTTCCCTTACCTGTGTGCGCCAAAAGTGTTTACACAAAGGTGAAGGAGAAGCGTGTTTGGGTGGTGAAAAGCGTCGCTGATAACAGCATGCCGCCCGGCGCAGGAAGCTGTCGACAATCGGGACAGCCAGGCGACAGTGTTTCGGTAAACGAGGACCGGAACTGGGAACTTCTAGGTCTTTTCCAAAGTTCTAAAAGGAACAAGAAGTCGCACACACACACAGAATTCAGACTCGTGCTGCTGCAAAAAATGAGCAATTTCGGCAGCTGCTTTTCAGTGACCGTTCGCAGAAGACGTTCGCCAGCGTGTGTTTATTTAAAAAACTGAACATAAAAAGTGTGTTTTTCGTACACCGGCTGAACACCAAGTGCTTATCGTCGATCAGATAAGATAAAACAATCTACGATAATTACCACGCTGCTTTTATCAATACATGTAACAGTTTTGCTTGTCTTACAGAAGCGCTGCCCGCTATCAAACCTGACAGTTCATGGCTCAATACCGATGCAATAATAGTAGAAATTAATCAAGGAACGATGAAGCTGCAGTTTACTTCTTCACATCAGCTTGTACAGGCGTGTACAGAAGTACTAAATAGTACTTCGGCAATGAACGTCGGCCTGGGTGAAGAAGAAGAAGCAACAGCGCAATGTCTCTGCCAGCAAGCAAACAGGCAGCAGCAGCAACCGTCCAACAATCTGTCCGGGGGTGGAAACCTGATTGAACCAGAATATTCCTGAAGAGCTAAAGGAAAAGAAAAAATTGCTGAAATAAAAGAGCAGAGTTTGTTGTCGCAGCCAGTAAACGGCGAAGAGGAGATATTTTTGGAAAGCGAACTTCAGAGTCAGCAGACGACAGTAGCCCCGTTCCAGCAGTACTTGTGTTCCAGCGCAGAATCCGAACCACCACCACCGAATCGGGCGGGTCTATTTGAACAAACTCGTACTTCTATTCCACGACGTGGAATCACACCGCGCTGCAGCTTCCTATTGCTACTGCCTTTGGCAGCAGCAGCAGCAGTCCGTCCAGAGTGGCTCTTCTCTTCTCGGTTTCAGATGGCCAGATCGATGTTTTTTCTCTGTCGTACAACACCACACACTGACAGCGCAGCAACACCACACACACAAAACAGATCTGGTAACAGCTGGTGGTAATTGTAGTGGGCTTGCCATCACCATCACCACCACCACCACCACCACCAGTGGCACAGCAACAACATCACTGTCAAATGATATCACGAGCAGTTTTGGCTCACCTGACCAGCATCATCATCACCAGCTCTGCACCAGGCTGGCTCAAAGATCAGCAGCAGCAGCAATAATGCTGTCTAGGGTGACTTTTCAGTGGAAATCACTGCCCCCGCCGCCTAGAAAGTTATGAAAGTTACCTCTAGTCCGAGTCTGTAGTCTCTCCCATCTCCTTATCTCCTATCTTTAGGCTCGCACTGACAGCCCAAACAGTACCACAATGTGATCCCCGGCGCCGACCAAAAAAAAATGTAGCCTACTGCTCGAATGATGATGCCTTTTTTACTACCGTCACTTTCCTCTCCTTTTCTTCTTTCTTCCTTTTCTTGCTATCTAATCACCGATCAGTATCTATGACCTCAAGCCTACAGTCTTCTTCTTTTATATTGATGCAATAAACCTGAAAGAGAGCTGTCGTCGAGGAGCTTTCCCAAACCTTCTAGTCATGCCATCATTCAATTCTCAAATTTTGTGACCTACAGCCACCACCAGCACCAACACTTTTGTTCTTTCAACGCTTGAAGCCTAAAGTCTATTGTGGGAGCAGAAGCAACAACAGCAGCAGCAGTATCCGGAGCAGACAGTGAAGCTGTCTTCAGCACACCAAGAGATTTCTACAACTTTCCATTGCATCAGCAGCAGCAACAACAACAGTAACAGCCGCACTGTTCCTAATCAGTCGTTCATCGCTCGCACGCCTTCTTCTCATTCTGTCAACTTGCTCGACTTGTCGCCCTTATCAACCATCTTCGTTTGCTTTGTTCTTCTTGGCCGAATCGCAAGATTTAAAATTATCTTCTCGGTACGACAGCAAAGAGAGGGAGAAAGAGAAAGAAGAACTCTGATTACAAGGTCGACCAGCAGCCGAAAAGTACACCACTCGCTGTTCACCACCACCACTGCTCGCCGATCATCAACTGCTGTACATCTTCAGAGCACACACACACACACAACTGCACTTTCATTACGCTCGTCCGCTCGCCAGCAACCACCGTCGTTTGCAGTTTCTACTCTCTCTCTCTCTCTCTTCTCTCCTTGAAGCACCAAACTAGATAGAGAGGAAAAAGCGGACTGTTTTCATTATCACCGTCTCCTATTTCTATTCTTCCCTATTCCCTCCACTGAGAGACTTGCCTATCACCGTTTCACACCTTTGCCACCGTTTTACCCACTACCGTTACCTGCTGCTTTTTCACCGTTCTCTCTGTTACCTGAACTAGTGGTTGTTGTTTGTTTTGCCCGTTTTTGTTAATGAGCGAATCACCACCGTCACCGACGACATCATGACAAAGTACAATTCGGACCTGATCAACTACGAGGAGGTGCAGCAGAAGCACCAGTTTCCGTAAGTGTGTGACACTTGTCTCTACACGTGCGCCTTCAAGTTGGCCCAATTTCAACAGCTGTTGCGATAACGTTGCTCTCTTTCTCTTTTTCTATATCTTTCTCCTGCCTTCTGCCGCCCACAGTCTGCTGCCGAAGATACTCAACGGGGGTATAGCGGGAATTATCGGCGTCTCCTGCGTTTTTCCCATTGACTTAGGTATGTGTCGCTTTTGTGTGTTTGTTTACGTATGCATGTTTGTTTTTATTTACACTGTTTGTCTTTTGTTTTTTTCTTTGCAGTCAAAACGCGACTACAGTCGCAGAGTGTGTCGCCAAATGGAGTGCCGCAGTACAGTTCAATGTAAGTGCGCGCCAGTCTGTCGGTGTATTTGTACGCCTTTCAAGTGCACTGATCTTTTGTTGATACTAACTAACTAACACTATTCTATACACTCGACAGGCTGGACTGCTTCCGGAAGACCTACCGAGCGGAGGGCTTCCTGGGCATGTACCGCGGATCGGGCGTCAACATTCTGCTGATCACCCCGGAGAAGGCCATCAAGCTCACTGCAAATGACTTTTTCCGCCACCAGCTCTCTGATGCGAACAAGTGCGTTCCTGTTTGTTTGAGCAGTGTCACACTGCTCTTTTGAAACTCACCATTTTACTAACATTTGTTTTGCACATTGCAGCAACATCACCATTCCTCGCGAAATGGCCTCCGGTGGCCTGGCCGGCCTCTTTCAGATTGTCGTCACCACGCCGATGGAGCTGCTGAAGATTCAGCTGCAAAATGCAGGCAGAGTGGCCACCACCACAGAGGCGGCGGCAGCCACTGCGGCAGGCATCGCCGGGGCCAGCCAAATTGCCGCCCCTCCTCCTTCGGCGACCTCCATCGCCCTGAACCTCATTCGCTCGAAGGGCATCTTCGGACTGTACAAGGGCACGGCGGCGACGATGTTTCGCGACGTTTCCTTCTCCGTCCTCTACTTTCCCCTCTTCGCCAATCTGAACAGCCTGGGGCCGAAGCGGGCGGGCAGCGATGAATCAGTATTCTGGGCGTCATTCCTGGCCGGCTGCGCCGCCGGATCCTTTGCTGCAGGTGCGGCGTATTTATTTGCCATTTGATCATTGCAAAACATTACTAACACTTTCCTTTCTTTTCCTTTCAGTGGCGGTCAATCCGATTGACGTGGTGAAGACGCGCCTGCAGACGCTGAAGAAGGCCGAGGGTGAGCAGCAGTACGCCGGCATTCGTGATGCATTCCAGCGGATCTTGCAGACGGAAGGCGTGAAGGCCTTCTTCAAGGGCGCCATGTGCCGGGTGATGGTGATTGCCCCTCTCTTCGGTAAGAGCACCTCTGCTAACTTTGAAGCTCAATAGCCTAACCTTTGTCACCTTTTTCCCCGTTTTCTGCTCATCAGGCATCGCACAAACAGTATACTACCTTGGCGTCGCCGAGTACTGCCTCAACCAGCTGGGCGTCGAAAAGTCCACGACCAATGGCAGAGCAAAGGCTGCTGCCAGCGAGTCAGCAAACAAAAGTCAGCAACATAGCAGTAAGCTGTAAACGGTGTGTGTTTGTTTGCTTGTTTGGGGACAGCAACAGCAGCAGCAGCTTGTCGTCGCAATTTCTTCAGCATAGTTTGCCGACGATCAATTCGACGAGCTGATGTGATCAGGTGATCAGTGGCTGTTGTTTGCCAGACAAACAGCAAGAAAGATGTGTGTGCATGCTATGTGTCCCTGGCACTATCTCAAAATCAAAATCAAACATACGCACACACAGACACAGACACATTCTCGCCATTTCCAAGCCCCCTAATTTATCGTCTCGTCAACACCCGCTTTCCCTTTCAACTTTGAGCAGCAAATGAGTACCAAGCAACACACTAAAATACGCCTAAACGCTTACCAGCGATCGTTTCCCAGCGATCGCCAACAGAAACAGCGACGACAGCAGCAACACAGCAAAGGTCGTCGCCAAACGCAGAAGCTTACTTTCAAAAGTGAAATAACCCAAATAAGCAATGATAATAAAAAGCCACTGAACAAATAAGCTAGTTGAATTGCGCTGATTAATTTGATTGCTGTTTTTGTAGAAGCAGCAGCAGCACTTTAAAATAGCCGATAACAGCTGCCTTTTTTGTCCACTGCGACCAGTGGCCAGCATTGGTGGTGGTGGGAGGGAAGGGGGCAGAAGAAGAAGAAAAAATAGTGTCCATGTTCGAAGGCACAGCAAACAAAGAAAGAAAGAGCGAGCACAGATTGAGTGAGCAGACAAGGCACTGCGAATTACGTAGTCGATCGCATTAGATGACGCCAGCAATGCACTGACTACACTGACTGACTCGATTGAGTAATGGCGAGCTGCTAGTTGTCGTGGTCGGCGACTGTGAATTTATTTGAATGTTTGTGAGAAGTTTGCTGCTGAGTGCACAGATCGATCTACTTTTCACTGCCTTTTTCTCACTTGCCAGTAATAGAGAAGAAGAAGAGGGCATTATTGAAAGTGGCCACTGAAAAACAGACAGTGAACAGCAAAAAGAAGGCACTTTGCCGGCGCAGACACTTTGACAGCTCTGCAGAGGACGATGAGGAGCAGCAACAACATCAGCAGCAGCAGCAGCATTCGGTCCAATTTGGGCATGCATCGACAATTTATCATCAAGCTGTACTAAACTGCATCAACAGTGGCAGTAGCAGTGGTGATCTGAGCAACTGTCGACTTTTCAATCCTAAATCGAATCGCGATTCGCATGTGAGAGCCGAGCTCAAAGCGGCGACATCAAGGTCTTGATTGGCGGAGATGGCAGAAAAACAAAATTTTTTCTGACTATCTAAAAAGGGGACAGCGCTGAAGAAGAAATTAACATCACCACTGACCACACACACACACTCACACACCAATCGAATGGTCAAAGCGATGTGAACACACATAAAAATCAGCTGCATTTGGTGGTCACTTTGAGGATGATTTATGTGTGTGTTCTAATTGAATTGTGAATGACATTCGGTGAGAAGAGGGGGAAACTGCTGGACAGCAGTTTTCTCAACTCATTTCAGAATTTCTCGTTGAATGTTGACAGGAGGAAAACGAGTCAACTTGAGCAGAAAAAGAAAAGTCCTGTCAGGGATCAAGGCTTCTTCTTCTTCCTTGCAGGCATTGCAATCATTCTTTTTTTCTCTTCGTCAATCGCATAGATTGAAGTGTGTGTGCTGTGCACTTCACTCGCACTCGCACAATGATTCAGATGCTGCTGCTCGCGTAGGTGTAATTTATGGATTTGGTTTAATTTTGATCTCCATTAATAGCAATCGCTACAATAATATACATTATAGAGGCTCTCTCTCGCTCTCATGTTCGTGCTCGTATGTATTAATATGTATTAAGCCGTTTGAGCGCTGAGTGCCACTTTGCGGTGACTAATTGACTAATTCGCTGGAACAGGTGAATGTGTCGGTGTGTGTGTGCTGTTGCTATCTTGTGCAATGTTTCTGCTGCTGATGTTGATGTTGTTGCTACCAATGAGCGTATTGTCCTGTCATCCGGAGCTGTCAGGCAGTGCGTCGGTGGTGGTCAGCAGTGAAACGATGGCCACCGAAGCTGACCACCACCACCAGCAGCACTTGAAGCCTACCTAATCTGAAAAGTGAAGCACTTCACACTTGATCTAATTGAAACGAGCTATGTGCATTCATTTGTTCATTCAGCTATTCATTCCTTTCCATGCCATTTCCAGCCTCTGCTCAACTAATCAGAGCGACTAATTGAGCTGCTGCTGCTGCAGCACTCCTGACGGCTCTAAGTGTCTAGGTGACCATTTGAGCAGTCACCTTCAGTGCTTTAAGACAGTCAGCAGCAGCAGTGGCAAGACTGTTTCTGTATCTGAAAAAATATCTCTAAATATAGTCTGGTCATCATATACAGTGTTGCCGATTCAGCGTTGCGCCATGCTGCTGTTGTCGCCGTTGGAACAGCAGCCAAAAAGAAAAGAAAAGAGTGAGGGGAAACGGCGGCGGACGCCGGCTGAAGGCGGTGATGGCAACGGACGACGAATATGATGTTGTTGTTGGTCTTGCTGAAAATGCTGATGATGTTAGCGACGGCAGTGCACTGAAGTGCCACTTGCTGCTATAGTGCGCAATTAATGTCAAGGCGACGAACTGGCTGAGCTGAGTCTGCAGACACACGAAGGCAAAGACTTTCTCTCTTTCTTCTGTACGACGATCTAAGTGTCATTTTAGTCGTCGCCGACGACACGCGGCACACCAGTCATCGGCACTGCCAACAGAACAGAGCAGTGGGAAGAGAAAGTGCTAAGGAAAGCTGTCATTTGGCCAATCACCGCACATGCGGTGGTTTTTTGCTCTTTCTCGCTAGGTACACTTTAGTCAACCGAGGAGATTTCATGTGCTGATAAAGTGTGTGTGCTGTACTTCACACCAAAGCAGAAACCATCTATCAGTCAGGAGGAGGAAGGCTGAGTCAGAGCTGGTCAATTATCAACAACTGCTCGTTTGCTGCTTTATCAGCACTGCGAGTGAGGAAGTGTATGGGTTGTGTGTTTGAAAGTGCATGTGACCATGAGCTCTTCTGTCGAATAATCTGCTGACCAAATCGCGCGCACTATCTCCCACTCCCTCCTTCAACTTTTTGCAACCGTTGTATAACATTTCTATCACTCTCTCGTCAACGACAGCCAAAATGGGATCAATGTCACTGCTGCATTGGCTCGTCATCTCTGTCTCAATTTCTCTCTTTACTTTTCTAAATTTTCTGCGAATCTTTTTGCTCTGCTCTGCTCACTGCCACTGTCACAAGTGCTCAACAACACTTTGATAAATTGAGAGGCAACAAAAATGCGCTTGCTTTTTTGCTTTTGCCTCTACCGTGGTAGATGTACAAGAAGAAGAAGAAGAAGAGGCCAACTCTACCGAGTCTGAAAGGGAAGAGAAGGGAAGGGAAGAGGAGGAGGGCATGATCGAGCAGACGAATGAAGCGAATGAGCACTCTGTTGAATGAACGAACACAGACAGAACAGACATGCGGTGGCAGATCGCACTTTGGCGCCACTACGACTAGAGTTGGCAGCAGAGCGAGTGAAAGGCAGCAGCACTTGAAAGCGCCCGGCACGCAACATCGACGACGACTGCAGCAGCAGATCACTTTCGACTTCGACGGCAGTTTGTTTGTTAGTTAGTGCATTTCCACGAGCGCCAGCGACGACGACGACGACTAGATCCTCTCTCTCTCCCTCTCTCTC